AGAGCACTTCCAGCAGTTTGCCCCTTGCCATGGCAAGAGGGGGGCTAGGGCGGCTACTATTCACATGAATAGTGGCTGCCCTTGCCATATTAAGCTACGTGTGTTTCCAGCAGTTGCCCTTTGCCATGGCAACTACTATTCATTTTTTTGTTTTTTTCACAACTTTTTTTACTTAAATAATTATTTTGGATAATATTTTCGGGTAAGATTTTTGAGTTCCAATGTGCACTGGCGGATCCAGAAATTTTTTAGCGGAGGTGCAATATTGACTAAGTATGAAAAATGATTTTTCGGAATAATCATTTTCTCAAGATAATTTTTGGCGGCTTTTGTTCCTTACACATCAAATAAGAAAACTTGATTTTATGGGGTTTTAGTATGAAGTATATATTGACTTAATGAGCCATCATTTTTAGCCTAAATCGTTTTGCACTAAAACCGATTTTTCATATTTTGATTTGGTGGGAATTTGATTTTCTAGTATTTTTATTTGAATCCAAATGGGGGGTACTTCCTTATTTACATTGTAAACTTAAGTAAATGGAGTAATATAAAAATAAATAAAAGTAAAAGGACAAAGACATTCACTTAAATGTTGAAAATGAAAATAAGGTCCGCCTCTGCCTACGTGTATGAGGATTTGGTGTTGAAAGTGAAGAGTTTTGGTAGGTATTTATAGAAAAAAAAAATTCAGAATTTTTGGGTATTTTTTAAATATTTTTTCATTTTTTTATTGCACAAAAATTGGTTGCCATTGGATTGGAGGAAAAAATCAGATCGGAGAGCCCAGGCGCTGACATGTGGAAGCTAGCCGTTGGGGTACTGTAGCGGGCGCGTCAATTTTTTTTAAAAGTTGGCGCGTATGCTGCACGAGCCAAGGTTAAAAAAATTTGAACGCCAGGGCTGACGTCGTCGTGACGTTAGCGCGCTGACGTCATCTCCAAAACTCGTTTTGGCGCTCGGGCCAGCCCAGTTCGCTGGGTCCCACTCCTTGCTCGGGCCACTTTTTGTTGCTGGAAACAGCATTTTGGGCTTCCCCCCCCCAGCACTCCCCTTGGCTACATTGCTGGAAATGCTCTAAAGACCCAATTTGAATTTTGGCCCAATTTGAATTTATTAGGTTTTATTAATCTTGAAATGTTGATTATTCAATTATATGCTGCTATTTCCACCAACATATCCTATTTTTCTATCCATTTTATCTTTAAAATTTTAAAGACAAGTTTACATTTTGTAAAATGACCATTTACCCCTTTCTCTTTGAAACAGAATATTTTCAGAAGGCCAACGCCATTTCCATTTCACCCAACGGCAACGACATTTTCCTCGAAAGTTGAAAAACACGGGGTTCAAAATAGACGAAATGGGATTGAATTCTTTTCCACCAAAGCTTTTCTTTAACTTCTTTGTTATATGGGGTGTGGGGGGAGGTGGGGTCTATTTACCCCGCAAACATCTCATGCCATCTAACAAGCCCACAACAAATTTGCAGAAATGATTGGATTGTGGGTTAGACAGAGTATATATCTTCAGTGTCTTTCTTGGATATCAGACCACAACCTGACTTCAATTCCAAATTGTGCTTCCAATTGGTTGCCCTTTCTATGCACTCTTCTTTCTAGTGGCGGGGCTATGCAAAGGGCAGGCACCCAGCCTGCCCAGCCCAAAATATTTCAAAAAATAAAATCCCTATATGTTATAAGCCCAGCCCAAAAATAAAAAGAATTAAAAACAAACCCTACCCATATGTTGCCCATCTTGAGTTGGTTGATACTATGTAACTCTTGAGTTATTAATTATGCTTATGAGGTTTTGATTTGTTCTGGAGTGTGGATTAGAATTTGTTTGATTTTTTATTTTTTATAGGACGTGGATTAGAATTTGTTAACAAGGAGGTTTTCAGTGAATTTGAATGGTATTTGTTGGCAGGACTTGTGGATAATTGACTTATTTTCCTTTCACACCAAGAATTCCTATTATAATTATAATATTTACTTTAATTCCTGATTTCCTACTGTAAATAGAAATATGAATTTATCATTTACTTGCCCATTAAAGTTTCGTTATATTATAAATATGACTTCCTACAAGGAGAAGAATACACAGAAAATTCCCACAAACAAATATTTTCATATTAGGTTTCATATTTTAGCATCGTATCAGAGCGGCGATCTTGAAATTGTTGACTCTAGTTTCAAATCCCCGCCGTCGCTATGGGGGTTGATGATTTTTTCAACCCTCATGGAGGTAGCACCACTGAATCCTTCTCTCATTCTCAACCAACCAGAGTCGAGTTGAGTGCTCAGGTGGCTTAGCTCCTGCAGATGCAGAACCCGATCCTGAATCAGGATCCTATTTTGATGACCCCGAACTCGATCCTGAATAAGGATCTTATTTTGACGACCTCGACCCCGACTACGACGATGACGACCCTGACCCCAAATTTGTCTTTGATTCAGACCCAAATCTCGACTTCGACTCCGACTCCGGCCCCAACTCAAGCTCAAATCTCGATCCGGATTCCTACTAAACCTGTATCCTATGCATCTTCCTCTGCACAGATTATGACTTCCCGACTAACGACCCCGACACATGGACGAGATTGCACATATTGTGGTGATCCAAGACACACTCGTGAGACTTATTTTAAATTGCATGGCTACCTCGAATGGTGGGCTACTCTCAAAGATCGAACACAACGCGATACGACCAGTAATGGTACTGGTTATGGATTCCATACTTTGGACAAGAGTCACCATGTGCCATATTCGTTGAGTATGAACAAGTGTACTACTTCGTTAATTCATTCTGATGTCTGGGGACCTTCACCTATCATTTCTCATTCTGGCGTTCGGTGGTTTGTCACATTCGTAGATCATTGTACATGGATGACATGACTTTATTTGCTAAAGAATAAAAACGAAGTGTTTTTTCGTTTTCAGTTCTTCCATAAATAGATGAAAACTCAGTTTAATGCTCAAATACAAATTCTTCGCTCAGACAATGGTGGAGAATTTGTCAATCATGACTTTCAGGCTTACTTCCAACAACATGGAATTATCCATAAGACGACTTGTCCTCAAATACCACAACAAAATGGTGTTGCTGAACGAAAAAATTGGCATCTTCTTGAAACCGCCCGAGCACTTCTGATTGGCACTCATGTTCCTAGACATCACTGGAATGATGCTATTGTCACCGCAGTTCACCTGATCAACCGCATGCCTTCTAGTGTATTGACGTTTAAAACTCCCTTACAAATGCTTCCGCAACACAGGCCCCTGCCCTCTGTTTTGGTTCTCACACCTCAAATCTTTGGATGTGTGGCCTTCGTTCATCTCCACAAAAATCAACATAGCAAACTTGATCCCTGTGTGCTTCGTTGTGTTTTTGTGGGTTATGCCACTCATCGAAAAGGCTATTGATGTTATCACCCTCATACCTGACGTACTTATGTTACTTTGGATGTGACCTTTTTGGAATATGAGATGTTCTTTCATGACCCATCATCCAATTCTACGCTTCATGGGGAGATACAAAGTGAAGAGCAGAATTGGAACAATTTGGAAAATGAAGAAGGCAAGACTATTCACAGTGGTCAATCCCCTATTCACAGTGATCAATTTCCTGACCTGCCTGACCCCTGTGAAGATGTTTTTAGTCCGAGTCCCACACCTACAGACAATACAGAACGACAAGATGAAGACCCCCCTTCTAACTCAATAGTACTAACGGACCAATCTCATGAGAATATCCTTGAGGTAACTACTCCTATCACACTTGTGAATTTAGAGGATAAATCTATTGGATACCAATCACCTTTCAGGAAAAATCGTGGGAAGCCACCAAACCGTTATTCACCTGATATTGGCAAGACATCAAAGTATCCAATTGCGAATCATATATCCATTGAGAAGCTGTCTGAACCACTCAAGGCCTTTATGCATCAATTGTATCCCAACTAAGGTTGCTGAAGCATTGAAAGATCCTAAGTGGGTTCAAGCTATAAAGGAGAAAGCTCTTGAGAAGAATCATACTTGGACATTGGAAATTTTACCATAAGGAAAAAAAACTGTCAGATGTAGATGGATGTTTACCATAAAACACAATGTTGATGGATCTATGGAGTGATACAAGGCAAGACTTGTGGTGAAAGGGTACACACAGACTTATGGTGTAGATTATAAAGAAAGCTTTGCACAAGTTGTAAAATTGAACACAGTGAGAATCTTACTATCCTTCGCAGCTAATTTGGATTGGCCACAACACTAGTTTGATGTAAATAATGCTTTCCTACATGGAGGACTCACGGAAGAGGTGTATATGGACATTCCTCCTGGATATAATACTACTTTGACTAGAACAGTATGCAAATTACGAAAGGCGTTGTATGGACTGAAATAGTTACCACGTGCATGGTTTGGGCGGTTCACCATGGTAGTGAAGAACAATGGTTTCCGACAGAGTAACTAAGATCATACTCTATTCTAGAAACATCAGAAAGGGAAGGTAATAGTTTTAATAATCTATGTTGACGACATGATTATTACTGGGAATGATAAACATGAAATATCTCAGCTACAATACTATTTGGCTACTGAATTTGAGATGAATAATCTAGGTGTACTCAAATATTTCTTGGGGATTGAGGTGGCCCGATCACAACAAGACATATTTCTCTCTCAAAGAAAATATGTCTTGGACTTGTTGATAGACACAAGAATGTTAGATTGCAAACCTGTAGACACTTCTATTGTTTAGAATCATCATCTTGGAGAATACACAGATCAAGTTCCAACTAACAAAGAAAGATATCAAAGGTTAGTGGGAAGATTGATCTACTTGTCTCATATTCGGCCTGACATTGCTTATGCGGTGAGCATCGTCAGTCAATTTATGCATTCTCCGAGTGAAGACCACATGAATGTAGTTCTTCGGATACTTAGATATTTGAAGTTTGCACCCGAAAAAGGACTTGTGTTCTCAAAACATGGTCATCTGGATATTGATGGTTACACAGATGCAGATTGGGCAGGAAGTACAACCGATAGGAAATCCACATCCAGTTACTTCACATTCGTGGGAGGTAATTTGGTTACATGGAGGAGCAAGAAACAGAAGGTGGTGACCTTTTCTAGTGCAGAAGCCGAGTTCAGAGGTATGACCAAAGGAATTTGCGAACTCATTTGGTTAAAAAGGTTGCTTACTGAACTTGGGTATAGACCTACATCCTTAATGAATCTCTTTTGTGACAACAAGGCTGCAATAGCTATTGCACATAATCCAGTTCAACATGATCGCACCAAACATGTTGAGGTAGATCGACACTATATCAAACAGAAGCTCAAAGTTAAAGTGATTCAATTTCCTTTCGTAAATTCGGAGGATCAATTGGCAGATATTTTGACAATGACGATTTCCAGTAAAACATTCCACAATTCATTGGATCAGTTGGGCATTGGCGACATCTATGCACCAACGTGAAGGGGAGTGTTGGCATGACTTGTGGACCATTGACTTACTTTCCTTTCACACCAAGAATTCCTATTATAATTGTAATTGATTTACTTTAATTCCTGATTTCCTACTGTAAATACAAATATGAATTTATTATTTACTTGCCCTTCAAAGTTAGGTTGTATTATAAATATAACCTCTTACAAGGAGAATAATACACAGAAAATTCCCACAAACAAATATTCTCATATTAGGTTTCATATTTTAGTAGTATTTTTTTTCATTACTGTTTAAGTGAGGTTTTAGTTCTAGTGGTTTTGATTTTTCTAATTCATGATCAGATCTTGTTTTGAGATTTTTTTAAACCTATTGTTTGAGTTTCTAAAAATCTTGTTTTTGAGAGTGTTTAAGTGTTGCTTGATATTTACATTTGTTTTATTATAGAGTACTAGTTGATTGTAGTTTCTATTTTCGTTTTACTTTATTGATTGAAGCTTGTTTTGTTATAAGAGTAGTAGTTGCATTACAATTGTTGTTTTTGTTTGCTTTACTAATTTGATCAAGTTGAAATGTGGTTGAGAGATTGTCCCATTTTTCAGCCTTGACTTCTCAATAATATAGTGTCATTTGATGAAATTGTATCAACAAAAAACATAGTTGTGCCATTAGAGCATCCACAATCATGCTCTCTATTTTTTAGTTAAATTTTAGCTAAAAACATATAAAAGTTATTTTAGGAGTTCTCTATAAAATTTAAACTCCAATCATGCTCTCTAGTTAAGGGAGTCATAAATGCTATAACTCTTTTTTAATTGGTCCATCTCTATTAAAAAATAATATAAAAATTAATTAACATTAATTAAAGGTTTGAAATACTCATTAAATAAAGCAGCATTAAATTATAGGAAGCCATTGACTAAGAGTCCTTTCTCTCTCCTCAAATTTAGGAGATCCTTATAGGTCTCCCTATTTTAGGAGTTGGATAGGGAGCATGGTTGGAGTTGTATTTTTCCAAATCCTCCCTAAAATTTGTCTAACGAGGTGGTTTAGGTACCCGATTGTGGATGCTCTTAGGGAGTAGCTACCAATCAATCCTTTCTAAAATTAAGCAAAGCTAGATTGTCGTCCAAATGATGTAAGTTGGTAAAACATCCAGCAATTTGCATGAGATTTGGTTGATAAGCTCTGAATAGCGTTTAATGATCTGCCTTGTACTTTCAAGCTAAACCCATGTAAAAATGGAGATAAGCATCTACAATCATGCTCTTTATTTTTTTTATTAAAATTTAACTCGCAACATATAAAAGTTATTTTATGAGCTCTCTATAAGATTTGAACACCAATTATACTCTCTATTTTAAGGAGTCATAAATGCTAGAACTCTTTTTTAATTGGTCCATCTCTATAAAAAAAAAAAAAAAAATAGTTAACATTAATTAAAGGTTTAAAGTACTCCTAAAATAAAGCACCATCAAATTATAAGGAATCATTAGCAGTCCTTTCTCTCTCCTCAGATTTAGGAACTCCTAGAAGTCTCCCTATTTTAGGAGGTGGATAGGGAGCATAGTTGGAGTTGTATTTTTCCAATTCCTCCCTAAAATTTGTCAAGATGATTTAGGGAGCTCATTTTGGATGCTCTAAACGCCCTTCACCCTTTATTGGGTATTTAATTATTAATTTCCTTTAAAGCCATGAAAATTATTTAATTACGATGAAATTGGCCCAAACACCATCACATCATTCTCATTGTGGAAAACAAAAACTAAAAGAAAACAAAAATATGTGTATATGCTTTGACATGTCCAAAAACAGCCAAGCCGGCAAGATTTATATTTCCAAAGAAGTAACCTTCTTGTTGTTCTTTTATTACAGCTTGAAACAGAAGCATAGATTGTCCATACGGCGTTTTGGGATCCAGAGAAGCATATAATAAAATCCAGAATATCCAATGTGTGTAATTTATCTTTGAATCTAGTCCCTATAGAGCTACACAGTGAAATATCAATTAAAAAAAAAGGAAAAAACTAAAAACTAATAAAAGAATATGAAAAATGAAAAAGTTGATACATTATAGAAACCAACTTATAATAAAACTTCCCGCATAAAAAAAAAAAAAAACTTTGAGGTTTCAAAAAAAAAATTTGAAAAAGGAATTTCACTATATAAAATAGACGGACTATATTCAAATATTTACATATTATAAAATTATTTGAGGGATCCCTCAATAGAAGGGGATTAATGAAATACAATACGGAGTGGGCCTTATAAGAGTGTCTATTAAATAAGCTTATTCGAGGAATCCCTCAACCAAAGCTCCATATATATATATATATAAATATATATATTTTTTTAACGAAAGAGCGATGCCTTATAAAATATTCTTAGCAGAAAGATAGAACATTGCAATTTGCAGACATATTTTAAGCTATATATTAATGGAAATTGAAATAGTACATAAACTTTAGGTTATGTACATATTTACTTCAATTTATGATTTATGTTACCCTAAGTTGTAACTCTTTACAAAGCAAAACATAATTTTCCCCGTTCATTCTCTAAACTTAGTAGTTAAAAAGCATATTAAAGCCGACCATATTATTTTATTTGCAACATAGTGTGATAAGCCGACCAAAGGCAGTCTTCAAGTTTTGTCTTTCATTCGAGGTTTTCAATGAATTATTCAGCAAGAGAAAATGTATAAATAGACCAAACATTCCCAGAACTTATACAAAACAGTATACCTACTGAGAGAGCTAACACAAAAATTTCCTAATCATTAAGGGATATATCAAATAATTAGCTCCAATGGCTTCGATTAAGTTTGTCACCCTAATTACCATGGTTGTGATTCTTCTTCCTACAATTTCCATGGCAACGGAGTTCGTCGTTGGAGATGCTAGCGGCTGGACAACTGGTATTGACTACCAAGCTTGGGCCAAAGACAAAGTATTTTATGTTGGTGATACACTAGGTAATATATACATTCCGATTATACTTTTACCATAATGTAGAAGATGTTTTAAGATGTTTATATTGCTAAACCGTGAATATAGGCCATTCAACCATTTGGTTTTGTCAAAACGAGCGGTCGAAACTAAGCAGTTGTTTAGAAAACAAACATTACTCTTAGCATAATTAATAATTAACTTACAAAAACCAGATTTGATGTGATCAGTTCCTTTTTTCTTTCAAAACTACATATATCCATGAATATTAATTAATTTATGAACATATATTATGCATGCATGCAGTGTTCAACTACCAGTCCCCCCCACACAATGTGTTCAAGGTGAATGGAACTGGGTTCAAGGAATGTGTTAAGCCAACAACAAATGATCAACCACCACTTACCTCTGGAAACGACAAAATAGAGCTAAAGACTGCTGGAAAAAAATGGTACATTTGTTCTACTAAGAACCACTGTGCTGATTTGGGCCAGAAACTTACCATCAATGTTATGGAGGGTTCGCCTGCCCCAGCTCCATCCTCTGCTGTTCGTGGTTTCATCTTTTCTGGATACCAAGTCTTCATGGCCGCCATTGTTGGAGTTTTCATAGCTGTTGCTGCCTGATCTTCATCTTCAACTCGTCCCCAAATGCATATGAATAAAAATACACCAAATTAAGACACATACATTAATAAAACATTTTGTTTTTTCTTTAATTCTATGATTATAATAATTTTGTGGAAAATAAAATAAGGGAATTTTGTTCTGTATTAGATGCTGAGCTAGCAATATTGATGTAATTTCCCATCTGAATCTGCTCTTGTATCATGTTTTTTTTTTGTTTTTTTGTTTTTGGATCAATTGTATCATGTTATTAGCATATATCCAAATTTATTATGAATTGAAATTTAATGGCACTTGTGAGTCTTGTAGAAACCATAATTTTGGTGGTTAATAATTCAAAGTTTGACAACTTGATTAGTTAAAGTCGACTCATCTAAGTTCTGGGTCTCATACAAATTACACGTGACATATGATACAGGGAGTTGGAGGTGACACGTTTTAGCATTTAAGAAACATCATCAATCAAATAAAATCATATGTTTGATTAAAAAAAAAAAATCATATGTCAAAAATGGAATACATTATACTTATTAATTGGTCATTTCCCTAAATCATTTGTTGAAATCCTTAAATCAAGGATTGACTCAAATGAAATCAATTGACAAATAAATCTCACAAATCAAGGGATATAAGTTGGGGATTCCAAACCAAGACCCAATTCTTTGCCTATATACATACTATGCTTCCATGTAGAAAAAATGTTGGCGTGACTTGTGGACACATTGATTTCCCTTGCATCCCAAGGATTCCCGTATTAATTGTAATTTTATTTTTTAAAAAAATAAACCAAAGGATTATGTGAGATTAGCTCCTCAATATCGGTCATCAGATGCACAAACATCCACCACCCTCAAAGGGGGGACCAACACTCCGGAAGGCCCCCGCCCGTCCCCTTGATCATAATTTATTAATAAGAAACAAAAAAGAGATATAAGAACAATAGGGGGGACCGAACCAAACTCTGCAGAAGAGAAAGACAATGACACAAATGCACAGCAACATGCTGACCTAAGAGACCAAAACTTTGAAAGAGTAAACAAAAGAAACTAGGAGAAGAATATACTAAAAATTCCCACAAATATTTTTAGCATGGTATTAGAGCAGCAATGATCTTGGGATTGATGTTAACTCTAGTTTAGAACCTTAACTGACACCATGAGGGATGCCAATTTTTTCATCTCCCATGGAGGTAGCACCGCCGAACCTCAACCAGTTCTCACCTGAACTTAGAAGAATTGGCCGCTAGAAGACCCAGGTTTTGAAGATACAGAACAAGACCCCGACCCAGACCCAGACTCATATCTTGATAAAGACTAAGACCCCGACCTCGACTGTCACCTATGAATCTTCCCGTGCACAGATCAGAATCAAGTTGGATGAACCAACTATGGCCTATGGTCCTAAGTTCTTAAGATGTATATTTCGAGCAAAAACAAGCCTATGGTCCCACCACCTGACGTTCATATGATGGTGAATGGAGAATTCGATTGTGAAAGGATGACTAATCAATTCTATGGAGCCTACATTGATTAGCAATTTTGTTCGATTTCCTACGACAAAACTAGTGTGGGATGTGATTGCCATGACCTAGTTTGATGGAACTGACACCTCTCAGGTGTATGACCTTAAATGACGAGTTTCTCGGATGTGACAAGACGATGGCTTGATTGAAACCTTCTACCATAATCTCCAAGGTTTGTGGAGAGAAATTGACTTTTGTCGTCCGAATATGATGAAATATGAGTATGATATCAAGAGGTAGTACAACATTATTCAGGAAGATCAAGTTTACACATTTTTGGATGGATTGGATGATAGACTTGACAAGGCTCGAAGTGACGTACTCAAGATGGATCCGTTGCCAACATATTTACAAAGGGATTCTCTGGTAAAGCATTACACAACTCACTGAACAAATTGGGCATCATCGACATCTATGCACCAACTTCAGGGGGAGTGTTGGCGTGACTTGTGGACTCGTTGACTTCCCTTGCACGCCAAGGATTCTTGTATTAATCGTAATTGATTTCCCTTTATTCTTGATTTCATTCTGTACATAGAATTAGGAATTAATTACTTTACTTGGCCTCTAAGCCGTCATAGTATTATAAATATGGCTTCCTAGAAGGAGAAAAATATACATAAAATTCTCACAAACATTATTCTCTCATATTTTAGCAAAAAAGACCTTCAAAAAAGAGAAGTAAATACAAACTTTTGAAAACTAGAGGGCACATTTGTTAGAGATGGCTACTAATATTCTCTCACAAGGGATTATTTAACAGTTGGATTATAGATCCTCACTTATGAAGCTTATTTTACCCTCTTAAAATCAATGGTTAAATTAAGCCCATCGCAATATAACACCAAATCAAAATATGATATAAGACAAGCAAGAGAAAATCAACAGAGAAAAAACTCTTTTAAAAGTTACAATTGAATATCATTAGCCCCCCCCTTTTTTTTTTGGGTGAAGAAACGAGGCTAACGCCCAACAAAGAAATTAAACAATGGCTCAAGGCCTACAGACTTCAAGTAAATCTTCACTAAGAAAAGACCTAATACTATCAGGAAGATCATGGAAGGTTGATAGACCCAACTCAAGACATGAACCCAATTCAGCTAATCTATCCGCCAACATATTGCACTCACGATATACATGATGAATAGAACAAACCCAGTTTTTGTTTATATAGTCTTGGCATCCACACAACATAGCAGCAAGAGGATGAAGGTCATCCACATTTTTGTTAAGTAGGTGTACTGCGATCGCCGAGTCAGACTCAGGCACAACTGCACTGCAACCTATATCCCAAACAATTTTCAATCCAAGATAAATTGTAAGATCCCACATCGACCAACGGAGAGGGGGTGATGTGCCTTATATGCACATGTCCGCATCCACCTAGCACGAGGCCTTTTGGGAGCTCACTGGCTTCGGAGTCATGGGAACTCCGAAGTTAAGCGAGTTGGGGCTAGAGCAATCCCAGGATGGGTGACCCACTGGGAAGTTTCTTGTGAGCTCCCAGAAACAAAACTGTGAGGGCAGAGAGGGGGGCTCAAAGCGGACAATATCGTGCTACGGTGGAGCGATCCGGGATGTGACAATTTGGTATCAGAACCACTATGCCGTGTGGTGCGAGTGTGCCGATGAGGACGTTGTTAAGCTCATAATTTCATACATATACATGCCCAAATTTACTTACTTCTTTTGCTTAGTTTCCTATAATTTTGAGTTATTTGCCTCCCTTTGTGTGTTTTGTAGGCCAAAAGAGCAAGAGAGCATAATTCATGCAATTCAAGCATGTTAAGGCCTAATTTGGATGAAGGGAAGAAGAGCTTAAAGACAAACACATTTTTGCTACAGCCCCCTGCCAGTCCAGTTCCGTAGGTCATATTGCAAGCTTTGTTTCAGCAACCAACACAGCTCGGATGAGGCAGCATTCTTCATGAAAGTTGTTCCAATGGGTGTATACTATAACATATCCAAAATTCAGCCCCATTGGATAAATATGGAGTCTGTCACCTAGCAAACACAGACCCATGCTCAGGATGGATTTTTGTCAGCGAGCAAAACGAGTTAACAATTTGTTTTGGCCTTAACTTCTTCATCCGAGC